TCTGTCTCAGGCACACCAACCTGAGGCATGAGAGTGCACCAAGCAACACCAGAGGTTCGGCTCCATTTACTAGTTAGATATATAATACATATAATTGCATATTTATATAATATACAGAGCTTATATAAACTTTATATATGTACATATATATAAATAAAATGCCATGGTATGGGGCCAGCACATCACTGACAATTTCACCTCATGGGTTTCAGGCCCTAATGTTAAATAAAAGAGTGCCTGAGAATTCTTCAAGCCCCTTATACTGTTTAATTCCACTTCACGGTATTCCGGAACCCAGCTGTACTCACCACAATGCATCTTTGCCAAACTGTATGAATCCACTTTGGATTGCTCTAATTGCTCCTGCCTCCTGATGTGAATAATAGCAACAGTAATAGGAAGGGCGTGGGGTATTAAGAGGATGATTCTTTTAGGTGAAGATAAAGATACAGGTGAGCATAAAAGCTAAGGTCACGAGTGACTGAGTGCTCTCTGTGCCAGGCACTCTGTATGTGTTACTTCAATCTTCACAGCTATCTTGGTTTGGTTTGGTTTGAACAAGAGACATGCCATTTAGTATGTGTACTTAATGAAAAGGCCATCCAGTGGGTTCAAATTTAAGACACCAGATCATCTTCCCAGAAGAAGGGGTCCAATCTCAATCAGTGTGGACAAGACCTAGCCTTGGCTCAGCAGTGGCCCTCCCTGCTGTGCCCCATTTGTGCAGCTTCCTGGACCAGGATGGTACTTTCTTTGAAACCATCTTGTTAGAGGGTCACTATTAGCCATACTTAACAACTGAAGAAATGCAAGGTGAAATTTAGAAAACTTGGCCAAGGTTGTACACTGGAGTGGTCTTCAAACACTCAGTGTTGTGTTGATAGGTGAGAGGTTCAGGGCTGAAGAACTGCCAGGGACATGGGAGGGGTCAGAGGAGTGGGAGCAGAGTTAGGACGCATTATACACTCTGCACCCTTGGGGTTGGGGGTAGCGGGGTAAAGAAGAGCATCTTTCTCCTCTGTGCTGAGGAGACTGGGTCTGAAGGGGGAGGGTAAAAAGAGTCGGGGGCTATGGCCAGCAAGAGACGGAGAGGCCAGCAAGTCTCAGGAAGAGACCTATGTGAACGACACACAGTCCGCTGATGAGTCTCTCACTCAGTGTCCACTCACAGGCCTTACCAGACCTTATCACAGGAGAAAAGAACATCTCCTGCAAAATACCATTTGGGGTTAACTAAAAATATATTCTTAATATCCTGAATTAACCTTTGATCCTGAAAAATATGTTTTTAAAGAATTTTTAAACACATAAAGAGAGCTATACAAAAATCATTAAATAGGTTCTCAATTGTACAAAAGTCAAATAATGTCAATATGAGCATGGGAGAAGAGCCCTATGTAGTATTACTGAAGAAAATACATGCATTCTAACTACAAGGGAAGGAAGAGGGAGCAGGGTCTGTCATGAATAATGATCACTCCAGAAGAGAGTACAGGCAGTATAATTTGCTTTAATAATTCAGATTGTCAGTTGGTTTCAAGACCTGTTGACTATCAAAGAATTAATGCATACATATATAATATACTAATTTTGTATGTACAAGTTTTTTGCAAAAGCATGGGAAAAGGTCTCATGACTCCTTCCATCTGGAATAAACAACTGGTACAAAATAACACTGAAGATCCTGATAACCAGGTGGGCCACAGCCAAGAGAGCCTGAAAACTCCTTAGGGCTCATCTAGAATAAATCCATCTAGTAACAATGCTAATTCACCCTTCCACTGACATATTTACACAGTTATATTTATAGACATAGTTACACAAGAAAGGAAGTATAGGGTGATTCTCAAATCACTAATTTCAATGTAAAATTATTAAAACAGGGTCTGTGAAACTTTCCTTTAATGTTAAATTCAGTGGGGGAAGTGGCAGACATCGACACAGGAGATAAAGGATTATTTATCACATACAATCATGCAATGTTTATGAAACCACATGGTGAGATAGTGTACCAAGTAAAAAGGGGCTACTTACATGGAAGGGGAAAGGGATAGGGGCAGAGGAGAGAACAGAGTTTAAAATATAATTTTTAGGGTTTCAGACACATTATAATGGCAGGCAGAAATCAGGACAAATTTATCTTTTGATTTCCTCTGCACACTAGTAGAGATCTGTGTCAAATGGGTAACTGCATCAATTTGTCCTTCTCCTTGACCTGCCTCTATACCTCTCTCTGGAAATCTTGCTTGGACTGCCCTTATGCACACTGCTCCAGAGAAATTGACCCTATGTTGTCAGAAATTGGTTTTCAAATAAGTCCTGTTGGAAATTTTAGTCGAAAGTATTTGAAAAGATTTATAACTTTTGCTGCCTCATTTCCAACAATAGAGGGTTTTTCTGGTTTGCTTTTTGTTTTAATAGCTTGACATTTTTGGCTGCCATTGCACTGCAACAGCTAAACTACACATTTATTTATTCTCTTTCTATCTCTCTTTCAATCTCTCTCCCTCATTTCCTAGTAACTAAATCATGTTGACTTACTATAATACGAGTACCACTGATTTGTCCTTGGCCTGCTATCCTTATGCTCCTCAGGTCACACTTAATCTTTGTGTATGTTTTCCTTTTCATGATAAAAATACTTTTCATAAGCGGTCAAGGTAACCAAAACTATTAAAATTTACATTTCTAAACTGAAAAACCATGCTGTTCTTCCAGAACAGTTTCATCTTACATTCTCAGTTTAAGGGGCCCCCTTCACTACTTAGGAACAAGAAGTAACTTTGAGCAAGTTGCTCATGAAACACCAGCTACTCTTACTACTGGAATCAATTTGGATTCAGACTGAGAAGGCACTACCACAGTTTTTGAAATCACTGTAGGGCATTCCTATGCAAAGCCAAAACCCAAAACAAAAAACCTTGACTTAAACTCACATCTTATATAAAAATCAATTCAAGGTAAATAACTTACTTAAATATAAAAAACAATACTATAAAACTTACAGAAATAAAAAAGAAAAAGAAAATCCTCAGGACCAAAGCTGGAGGAAGAGTTTTTAGGCTTGACACCGAAAGTACTATGCATAAGAGGAAAATCTAGTAAGTTGAATTGCATCAAAATGAAAACTTTTGGTTTGCAAAAGACACTATGAAAGAGATGAAAAGAAAAGCTATATAAGCTGGGAGAAAATATTCATCAAATATCAAAGAACTAGTACCTAGAATGTATAAAGAACTCTTGGAACTCAACAGTAAAACAATCCAATTAGAAAACAAGCAAAAGACATGAAAAGACAGTGCACTGAAGAAGACTGATGGCGAATAAGACATAAAAAGATGTTCAACTTCTTTACTCATTGAAGAAATACAAATTGAACCGCAATGAGACATCACTACACACCTACAGAACAGCTAAAATAAAGATTGACAATACCAAATACTGATGAGGATGTGGAGAAACTGGATCATTTATACATTGCTGATGAGAAGGAATAGAAAATGGTCCAGCCACTGTAAGACTCTGGCAGTTTGTTTTAAAATTAAACATGCACTTATCATTTGACCCAGCAATTCCACTCTTGGGAATATATCCCAGAAAATTAAAATATATATTCATATAAAAACCTGTATACAAATGATCCTAGCAGCTTTATTTATAATAGCTCCAAACTGGAAAAACCCCAAATGTCCTTCAATGGGTAAATAGTTAAAAAATTGTGGTACATTTATACCATGGAATGCTTCTCAGCAATAAAAAGGAACACACTATCAATACATGCAACATCTTGGACAGACCTCAAGTGCTATGGCCTGAATGTTTGAAACCTAATGCCCAGGGTGATGGTATTAGGAGGTGGGCTTGTGGGAGGTGATCAGGTCATGAGTGTTGAGTCTCATGAGTATGGAGTCTCATGAATGAGACTTACGCACTTATAAAAGAGTTCTGAGAGAACTCCTTTGTCCCTTCCACCATGTGAAGTTACAAGCTGTAAGACAGCCTTATCTGAACCAGGAAACAGGCTCTTACCAGACACAGACCCTGATGGCACCTAATCTTGGACCTCCAGCCTCCAGAACTGAGAAATAAATGTGTGGTTTAAAAGGCACTCAAGTGTGAGGTATTTTGTTAGAGCAGTCCAGATGGAGTAAGACATGAAGGGAATTGTCCTAAGTGAAAAAATCTAATCTCAGAAGGTTACATACTATATGATTCCATTTATATAATCTTTTTGAAGTGACAGATTAGAGATTGAGAATAGATTAGTGGTTTTCAGAAATAGCAGGTAGAGGAAAGGCAGTGAATATGGCTACAAAAGGGTAGCACATGGGAGCTTTTTCATGGAGTTATCTGTATTTTGATTGTGATGATGGCCACATAAATCTACAAGTGTGATAAAATACATAGAACTAAATACACACAAACACACAAAAGAGTGTTTATAAACCTGGTGAAATCTGAATAATGCTAGTGGATTATACCAATGTCCATTCCTAGTTGTGATATTACAGGATAGTTATATAAGGTGTTACCATTATGAGAAACTGGGTAAAGAGCATAGGATATCTCTCTGTATTACTTCTTACAATGACATGTGAACTGACAATTACCTCATAATAAAACATTTAAAAAAATCATGATACAGTTCTTATTTATTCTAAGTGTCCTCTTTCCAACATTTCCCCCATTAGATGTCTGATTTTTTTCTTTCTCCAATATTACTACTTGCTGAAATCCTAATACTGGAAAACATTTCACTACAATTAGTGGTTTAACCCTTGCTTTCCAAAAACTCTTATTCATGGCTTACTAGTTGCAGCATGCCCTTCAGAGACAATCCTATATTTGAATACTGACTCTTACACTGTATGAAATGGACAAAGTACCTAAGTTTCTGAGTCTTAATTACCTCATTGGTAAAACAGGGGAAAAACCTATCTCATAGGTTTATTGTAAAGATAAATAAAATAACAGGCACACAGTAGTTTTTAAATGTTTATTTCCTTCATTTCATCATTAACAATCTATAACCTAGCTTAATTTCTGGATAAAAATTTCAACAGAAAACACTGCTTCTCAGTTTCTAAAGCTAATATTTGTAAAACAGGAAATGTAACTTTAATGAGCAAAGATTGGAGGCTGGGTATGTGGTGAGTCAACATTCAGTTCTTAAGAAGTATTTCAATTTACAAGACCATACTGATGATTTTAAGCCTATGTTCTCTGAGTTTAAAAATATTCCACCTTTAAAATGATTAATAAATGTTTTAGCAGATCATTCATAATGATTAATGGGCAGCTGTCACATAGATACTTAAATCCATAAATGTAACTGATCATATACTAAATGAAGACCATTCTGATATCAACAATATATCTGTGTTGGATCAGTTCAAGCTTTAAAAATGACATGGGCTCCAATGATTAGAATTTCACCCATTCCACCTACCTACAAAAATTCTTTTTAGTAACATACTCCCCCACAAGGTAATAAGCTTTAAACATGTCATAGATTTTTAGTTACAGCTAAACCAATTAAGCTACAGGACAGCAAGAACTAAGCATTTGGTATTTAAAATCCAATGCTGGTTGCTGAATGTGAGATTCTGAGTAAACTGCAGTGGATAAGGGCAGCTAGATTCCCTGAGCAGCACCGGCCTGGGGGAACTGTCAAAATAGAGAAGAACCAAATGTTATTGGTCTCATGTAAGTAAGAAAAGGACTGGCTACCTGCTCTGCTTATGAACAGTCACAAAACAATAAAATGCCAAGCAACATTTGAGGACAAAGTCCCCTCAAACACTTTTTTGAAGTACTGATAATAATTTGCAAAGCAGATGCTTACCGAGCAAAATAACTTTGTTTCCGTTCCTTCTTCTCTTCCTTGGTATCCATAATACACCATCAAAAATGCAATGTATTTGAAAAAGTTCTTCTTTTATCAATGAGTCATAACCCTGTAATAAAATAACAAAGTGACTGGTAATTAAAAGGTTTATAATGGCCAATATGAAGAATAAAGCAGAGTGGAGCTACATGGCCTACAACAAATGGAAGATAAACTAACCAGTAAACACAGCCACGTGAGTCAGATACAAAATACAAATGCTCATGGGGGGGAAAGCCTACAATGAGAACGGAAATGTGAAACTATAAAATAAAAGAAGGCAGCTGGAAAACTAAACTGAAGTTTTTTCTTCATAATTAATAATTATTTCAAAAGTAATAAAATGAAAACCACTGGCCTTGCAAGATGTTAAGCCAGCTATGCAAAACTAATTTAAAAACAAGTTTTGAATTCATATAATCCACTTTTTTCAAGTAATTAATAGCAAATATGTCTCATACATAATTATGAAAAATGGATCACTTAGGTGTTTTACAAGAGTGTTCTTTCTTTAAAAATAACATCAGTGTTCTATTTTATTTTCTGAAATATGCCGGCAAGCACATCCCACTTGAGCAAATGTGGAAATGAAAGTACAAACCCTCAGTAAGGTATTCTTCAAAATGGGTTTATGTGCTTGCCTCTGCTTCTCTGCACCCCTGCTACCTCACATGTGTTTCCCAGGAGCAGTTTAAACCTATAATAAAAGCTTGTCTTCAGGTCAATCTTCCTTAAATACCACTTTTATCGTGCCACTCCCCTGCTCAAAAATTTCTAATGTCTACCTAATGCCTGATGCACTAGTGTTCTACAGAACATAAACCTTTCCTAAAACCTGTCTTTTTACAGGGAAAGGCTATCAAAGCAAAGAATGTTCATCAATCAGAATTATTCACTCATTCATTTCAGTTCAATAAACAATTTAATTCACAATACATATTACATGAAAAATAATATGGTATCAGAGACCAAATAAAAATTAGACAGGAGATTTGCCCTACTGAAATTTACTGTCTCTGTGAGGAGACACGGGATTTAAGATTAATGGAGGATGCACAAGTGCCACCAGAGCCAAAGGAAGAACACTCAGCCTTATGCAGATCCACTCCATCCCTTCCCCACCACACACCAAGGCTTGAAGGAGAAGTATGGGCTGCCTAGTTAAAGAGCACAGGGCAGCAGGCCCAGCCTGAACCAAAGCAAGACAACATGCTATGTCCCTGTGGCTCCAGGATTAAATGTGAAGCAGGGCAACAGTAGGGGCAGGATTAGGGTCATGGGAGACCTTTTATGTCACACTAATGAGCTTGAACTTAATCCTCCTTTGTTTTGCGTGCTGCCCTCCCCCTTCACTGTGCCACTGTTGGACATCACTAAGCAATCAAGCTGAACCTGAAAGCAACCTCCCCCAGGAGATGTTACCAAACCTATCACCATGAAATAAAACTAATTTTCTCTTCCCTGATATACATGGAAGGAAGCCACCACAGGGTTTTACATGAGGGAGTGTGACACACACAGATTGCAAATGATGGACTTGAGGAGCCTGAGAACAGGGTGAGGTAGATATATTAGAAGGAAATTACAGCAAAACTAGTTGAGAGGGGAGGGCCCACATCCAGGCAGTGGGATGTGACATAGAAAAAGGGGGAATGACTTCAAGAAATATTTAGGAAGCAAATGAGTTGACATTTGGTCACTCATTCAATGTAGATAAGATGCGAAAGGAAGAAATAAAGAATTCCCTCCATATGTCTGCTTCAGGGGCTGTGTAGACTGAGATACCACAGATATGATACAATCTGCACAAAGGGGGAAGACTATGTGGGGGACGTGGGAGCACAAACAGATGAAAGATCAGTTTTGGCCACGTTGCCTTTGAGGTGCCCATGGGATAGACTGTCAGCCGGAGACATTCACCAGACATCTGAATTCATCTAAAGCACAGGAGTGCAGTGAGGGAAAAAGATTCAGAAATCATCAGCTTGTGTGGATAATTAAGAGGAAAAAAAAAAGCCAATACAATGATGAGAACACCCTGGAAGCATGACAACTATATACAAGGCCCTGTATGAACATAATGGGGGATACATTATCAGCTCTCAGTAGTTTGTCTCCGTGTCCCTGACCTGGGCTCTGCCCTCAAGGCACTTATGGAGAAGTAGGGAAAATAAGACATGCAAATAACTAAAATGTTGGGTAGTAAGTTGGAGCTGTCCGAAGACTACTACCAAGAACCCAGGAGACACAAAATTCAATTTTGATGGAGGAGCTAAATCTTTCAGAGAGATGAAGTAAATCTTTCAGAAAAAGTGGTAAAGAGGAGAGACAGCACTCTAGAAAGCAGGAACACCTGAGCATAGGTATGGACACTAACAGGACAAGGCACATTCAGGCAAGGACAGAGTTGCTGCCAGATAGGAAACAGGAAGCAACCGTGATGTCTGCCCATAAGACATTTATTTCAACATAGTATCCACATGTTCTCTCTTTAAATCCTTACAACCAGATTATGAGTTAGGTGTCCTTATTTCCATTAAACTGAGGCTGAGAGACATTAATTTTCCTAGTTCACAGCACCAGCTATGGTGGAGCAGGAATTGAAATCCACTTTGGCATACACTTCACTGCCTTTCAATAACCTGTGGAGCTGGGAAGCATTTTGGAGATGAGCTAGAAAAAAACAGTATGGAATCAACAGCATCCAATGCCTCAGCTAGATTCTGCAGGTTCAAACCAACATTCATGGCTGCTGGGTGATGGGATCACGAAGACCCCCAACAGGACGGGATCCATGGAGCATTGGGGTCAGAAGCCGTGCCTCAGTGAATTAAGGTAGCACTCACTCAAGAGTCAGGGTGAGGGATGCAAGAAAGAAGAAAAAGAAAAGACGGTGGCTGAGTATCTAATTCTCATGAGCTCAGCCTCACGCTGTGGTCTGAATCACTGGGCTCTTCCCACTCTGCACCTTAATCCTTACTCTTTTTCCAAGCTTGAAGTAACTGTGCTATGCTTCTGCTTCTGGTTGGATTCAGCACAAGGCCCAGTTCTACTTTAAAGCCTTCCCTGACCACCCTCTTTCTTTCTCTCCCTTAGATCATTTCGCATGTCACCTATCACTCATCATACACAGTGTGACAATGTCACTTCACGTAGCCTCCTCAGCTCAAGAAACTGAAAGTTCCTTCAAGTCAAAACCCACCATGTTACACATTTTCCTAATACTTCGCTATTGCCTAACACAGAAGGAGGCAAAAACTCCACATAAAAGCTAATCAAGGAATGAATCCAGACTTGGGGTAAAGTCAAGCATATGGAAAACTGATATAAATCCAAGGACCTCTTCCAAGTTGAGAGTTATTTGGTGATCAGGGATGCAGACTCAAGCCAGCCTCTCTCCGACTCCAGAAATTATTAGAATTCCAGGCCTGCACCCTGTCCCGGGCCAGGTGGTTTATTTTAAAGTTCTTCTCCTGCATGCCACCATATATAATGATCTGTTTATTAGATTTCCCCTCATGAATAAAAATGAAGTCATAACAACCTAATTGGAAAATTTTTATATTGCAAGCTGAGTCCGAAACTAATATTTGGTTCTAGTGGAAAAATATTGGCAAAAATAAACACAAGAGAAAAAGATAAAATGCTCCAAGAACTGACATCTGGTGCTGCTGTGTCTGTTTGGAACTGGCAAAGCTTTTCTTCCTGTTCATATTCTATTTGATAAATAAGAAGCATACTAATCTTTCTTTTAAATTTGGGGGAATTTTCATATTCCTTCAACAAGACAGATGCAGTCCCTTCAGGTCTAGACACACCAACAGATTAACTGGAAAGAGATGAGCAAAGGATGCTCTAAAAATGATTTGCACAGAGCACCATACAGCAGCCTTCATGCTTCAGTGAAGAACCAGAGTTCCTTACTTAAATCAATCTCTAATGGGAACCACATTTTCCATTAAAGTGGTCATAATGGACTTCCTAAAAGCCCTTCTTTCTTTTAATGTTGACTTTTCCTCACATTGATTAACTCGAGAATCATCCAAACACTGAATTACCAGAGTCTCCTGCATTTACTGTACATTACAGACCAAAAAAGAATTTTATGAGGGAGCACAAGATGAATCGTCTACCTAAATTTTTCTTTTTGCAATCTTAAATCAGGATAGTCAGTTTAAACCTAAATTCAGTTCATTGTTCAAATAAAAGAAGCACATACAAAACCCTTACCTCTTAAGTGCTGTGTTGAAGTGAAAGTACTTTCTGTATTACCAGTGAAGTGTTCCCTGCTGGAGACCAGGGCACCACTTAGGAAGAACTTAAGAGCTATCACAGACATTCCCTAACAACATTAAAACAGTATGGACCCACAGCCCAGGGTGGCTTCATAGCTTCCCACCTAACACACTGCAGCTCCCACCAACTGTACTTTCAGGTATAACCAGTTCAGACTAGAAAGATGCCAGTGTACCCATAATATCCATCAACTGTTTTCCCAGCAACATGTTTCCCTATTATACAAATGAATTAATGACAAGAACATGCTTTGAGGCTTGGTCACATTAGGTTCACCCACTTACGGAACAGACCAAAATTTACCTTTCTATCCAGACACTTCCTCCTAGAAAACACTCTGCATGTGAAGAAATATCACACGTGTTCAGTCTTTCTCTAAGCCACACTATCATCAGAACAAAGGAAGGTTACTGAAATTTCATTGTTAACCAAGGCCAGAAATTCAAATACCCTCTAAAATGAAACCTAGGAAGCAAGACATAGAAACAGATACAAAAAAAGTACACCATAAACATGTAAGGGGAACTTCCAGGAGATAAGGCCTCCCAAAAACAAATGTGTATCACAAAAACAAAACAACAGAAAAAAGCACTTAATGGCAACAAAGAGCTAAAAAGTTATGCCTGGAACAAGGTGGTGATCAAGGAGAGGCCAGCGGCCAACTACTTGGGAAAATGGGATGAAGCCAATGGATGATAAAATGATGGGAAAAAACGCATCAACTTTTATTCCATTATTCTTCACTTAGGGAACTAAAATTAAATCTGAAAAGAATTAAACAAATGTGAGCTTCTGTGTTTTCTTATGTAAGATGAGCAAAGAGACTTCATCAAAGGTCCTAGATCCTCTAAGTGAAGACCCATCTGTGGGCTAGCTAGGTCATTCTACAAGTTTTATTAAAAGAGTGTGCAAATGAGATTTCTAAAGTCACTGGGTGGGTCAGGAATTACCAAAGATGTGGAAAGTGCCAGAAGCCTGACAACAGGCAAATATACATTTCAATTTTCAACAGATTAGAAATTAGAAAACAGATTGTGCAACATACACACTGGAGCATATCACATAGATCCCCAATAAAACTTTAGAAATGATAATTAAAGGCAGGTGGGTAAGGACCCGGCCAAAGAGGCAGTGAACCCTGAGATCCAGAATGTTCACAGAAAACCAACCATTCAGCAGAACAACAAACACATTTGTTGTTGAAGCATCTACCATGGACCAAGGACTCTGCTGGAGATAGAAAGGTAAAGATAGCAATTGTATGGGCCAGGAAGCTCAGGTCTGTCAGGCAACTGAAACTTAGTATCTGGCAAAGTACGTGATGGGTGCTCTGCTCTTGGCAGAGCACAGAGGGGAAGCAACGAGGAAGGAAGGAGTGTCCGGGAAGCTTCACAGGTGATGAATGCAGGAAAAATTGGGCTTATCAAGCTGAATGAGGATGTGCAGCCATTGGGAAGAAATGTGTGGTGCTGAGGGATGCCTGAGCAGTATGGCTGGAGTACAGGGCTGGTAGAGGAGAGAAAGCTCAGAGAATGGTGGTTTAGGAATATTAGTGTGACCTAAATTTTCATCTTGGACATAGTTACTCTTCTAGTGCATCAAGGAAATGAGGTAAATACAGTGTAACTGTACTTAAAAAACATTTGATACATTTCTCCTGATCTACTTTTAGATAACATGGAGAAATGGGGGCTGGACATGGATGGATGCTTCTGGAATAGATGGGTAAAGGAAAGCACTGAACCACTGTACCAAAGGTACATGCTGACCAACTGACTGACCTCAACCAGGAGCTGGGAGCTGACCTCCATCCACAACCTGGAGGGAGGATATTAATAGCTAATGCAGTATTCATTATTAGCTTCTCTCCTCATCAGTAAATTTACCATTGACTTGAATGAAAATAGGAGCCTCCTTATTGGACTTCTGGAGGGATAAATAACTTCTGGGTAGGAGCATTTGGATTTAGGCAGAACTCAGCTGTCTATAGAAAGGTAGAATTTACACCACTTGAATCTCAGGTGCTACATGTGGGTGAGGTGCTAAGGAATGAGAGAAGCAGAGCTCAGCATTAGCATAAGTGAGTATGATTTGCAGTGTTAGGTGACAGTAAGATCCATACACCCAGTGGTATGCCCCACCCCTCCCAGAAAAACCCACTAATGCAATCAGCCCAGAATAAAAAAAATTCTGAGGGTCTGTCCCACCCTTTTTGAGGGTAATGATATATCAAGATGACATTTAATTCTAGATCTCACACTATAGGAGAAATGTAAGGAAATTAGAGTACCAGGATGGTTAAGTGACCTAAAATGAAATTTTAAGAAATTAGTCAAAGGAGATGGTCAGGCTTAGTCTGGAAAGACTTCGGATGAAATAAGAGCTATTTTCAAATACCTCAAGGATGTTATCTGGTAGGACTTAGGCCCAATCGACCTTCAGGGAGTATACCTAACACCAGGCATTAGAGAGGGAGAGGGGTCTTGGCCCAACATAAGGAAGAACTGCCTTACAGACAGACACAAAGAGCTATCTCCAGATAGAGTGGCTTCCTAGTCTCCAAAAGTGATTGAGCACAAGCTGAACCACCACTTCATGAGATTGCTGTAGACTAGCAGTTCTCAACCTTATCAAAATCAACACCCCTCAGCTAAATAAATACATAATTATCTTATGGCCTTTATAATACTGAAATGAAGTTCACAGATAATATATCTGACACCCTTAATTTTGTGCAATCAATATAATGCCAAAAGAGAAGTAACTGGTAACAGGTATTTCAATATGTAAGTTCTTAGGTTTTAAAAGTCAATATAATACCAACAAAGAAAAGCGATTTATAACAAGTATTTCACTAAGTTCTCAGGCACAAGCTCACTAGAAGACATAATGAAAGACTTAGGACAAGTTAAGCTATAGGATCAGAAACTATTTTCTACAAATGAGAAGTACAGGAAAGTGAAAACAGATATGAGGGAATGAGAGGTGCTGGGTAATGTGCATGGAACACTGGAATAAAACTAGAATAAAAACTAGTGCTAGAAATACTCATCAAACAGGTATTCTATCCAAGGTAATGTAGAACAAATCCCTTTCTTTGGAATATCCCAATAAATATTCATACAGGTTCTACAGAAGACATGAAATTCCCAAGCAGAGGGGATAATTCTCCTTTGTCTAGGACCACTCACCCCAGCACTTTGGCACCTCTGCTTACCCACAACTAAATGCTGGCAGTGCTTCCCGAAACCCTGTGCCAACCAAACTCACCCTGCTGGTGGATACTCACTGCTGTTACAGAGGCAAGAAAAGCTCTATGGTTAAACTCACATTTTAAATAATTTTTTTAACTAACATTTTTTAATTTCAAAATTTCCTTCAAAGTTGAGTTTTCTAAACTTTACACATGAGAAGTTCTCAGTTTCCAAGACACCTTGTGCTTCACCTGACTAACTCCTTCGACCCCTGTTACCTTTAAAGCTGATCAGGTCTGCTAGAATCTAAACTCCAGCATCTCCAAGGTATGTAGTGGCCTTGGGCAAGTTACACAATTTCTCTAGCCCTCAGTTCCCTTATCAGTAAAAAAGGCCTGCTGTAGAGATTCAGTGTATTCAAAAGGCGACTATGGAGTCTAATGCCTCATGGAACAGAAAATTCTATCCACTGAGAGAGAGTTCAACAAACCCACATAAGCAATGAAAATTATCCCTACATTCAACACCTGGACAGCTAGATTCAAATCTGCTCCAAACAGAAAAATCATATAGTGAACTAACTCAAGCTAGGTAGTTCTGGGGAATATAAAGATGACAGCAGGCAGCAAGAGTTAAATATCTGTTGAACACTAATCATATGCACAAATTTTTTTGTTCAATGCTGTTAACACACTGTTTAATCTTTATGACTACATAAGGGAGTTCATATTCTTAATCCTCTTCAGATAAAGAATCTGAAGTTTAGAAAGGCTAAAGAACTTATTTCAGGTCAAGCAGCCATAAAAGTCAGAATGATCAACTATGTCTTATGCCAAAGTCAGAACCACTAATAATGGCCTCTAATGCTAGGCTGTATTACTGCACAGAACTTTCACTTCAGCTGCCTGGTTCCTCCTAAATGTACCCACCATTAAAACAAATAAGAGGGTGAACATCACCTTCTGGACATTATCCTTTCAGATGTAAACTCTGAACTGTATTCAGGTCACCCATTACTATTCATTAATAAACATGTTGCCATGAACATGTCCATGCATTCAAGTAATATTCATTGTACTGAATTAGATTTTTAAGGAGCTAACTGGAAAGCACGGTCCCTTAATTCACTAAATTAAATTAAATAGCTCTTAAGTTTTAAGAACTGAAGCAATGATATAACTTTAAATATGCCAGACATATTTCCCTTTAATAGTTGGCTATTTTTTTGTTTCTGTTGTTTTGGAACGTAATCTGCTAATCCAATTATTTTTCCAGTGAAAATGGAATTAGTGAATATAGGAAATTTAGATCTTTTTAAAAAATTTATTGATTTTTAAATTATAAAAGTTCCTTTTTGCTAGGGACTAAAATTTTAGGTCCCCCTTAGAACTAAAAATTATGATTCTATACAAATTCTACCAGAAATTTTGAGTATATTGCATGTACTCTGTCATTAATACTCATAAGGGTATAGGAATTCTGTTTTGAACAGTTTTCTACCTCAATACAAAGACTGGAGGGGGAAAATATGCAGTCATGCAGAAAATTATTGGAGGCAATGAAAACAGAACAGTCTACTTTGCTGATTTCATTTCTCAACGGCTAGAGAAAACCTGGTCTTTCTCACCATCAATCACAACTTATTGGCTATGCTCACAAGAGCTGGTAAAAATCTGATGCCTGCATTACCCATAGAGGGTTTCTGAGGATAGCCCTATTATTGCTCCAGCACTACAATATCACTTCAGATGACCTCTAGGATGAATCTAAAGGTGGCAGGGTCCAAATAGCATCAAGAAAGAAATAGGTGAAA